ATAACCATAATCAATATCCATCAAATAACTACGTTACGTATCAATCAGACAACATCCAGCATGAATGGGTGACTACGACAATACAACTACTCTACAAGGGAAACAGGGAAAATACTGGGTCCAACAACCAAATCAGAAAATATATCCTCAATTGATATCATATCCAATAAACCAAAGAGTTCCTAAACCTAGCACTAACAAATTACTTATAGTCAATACATAATACAAACATGCACATAAAGGGAACCTAACGCTATATATTTCAATAACGCCCTCTCTAAGGCGCTTCCCTAAATGAGAATGGTTAATTGTAATTAACATAAGACAAGTTAATTATACATTTAAATTTAAATTATAGTAAACAGTATAACTACCACCAAAATTATATACACAATAACAAAATACAGTACTCTATCTCCATGATGGTAACTGGAGAGAGTAAAACCATATTGCTCTAATAGTGTTAAGTAACTGGTATTGTTTAAAACTAATCATCTTAACTTACCGGGATGGTAGATAATATGCCCAAATATTACATGATTTGCTTCTAAATATTAAATAAAACTAGATTCTAAATTACAGGGCAAATGAAATGTCACACAATTAGTGTGAACTATGACACTGGTAACTGGATTCTAGATCTAGATTAATGATGTTGGGAAAAAAATATATCCAGTAGGGCCTAAATAGATATTATTTATTACTAAAATGAACACACACAAAAATTGTATTAGATCTTAGTATCTTAAAAAAATGGAAGAGGTGTACTCAACTTAAACAATCCCAGACGTCAGGTCTTCATGACAACTCCAGATCCCACACTCCATAGGCCACATCAGATTCAGGCGATGACTTGTAGTACACATGCTGGTATAGTCCAAGTCAGTCACACACACTGGATTGGTGACGCAGATTGACGTCGACTTGTACTCCGAGAATCCATGTAGATAATGTCGTTCTTGTAGTTAGGGAATTCATCTCGACCAATACTGGATCGAACAAACGAAGATGACGCAATGCAGAAAATTCTCGTCTGCACTGTCGATAAAGTCAACCACGAAGAAATTTGACATGGTGAAGGTCAGGAACGTCATCAAAACATGTAGGCCAAACAATTCAGCCGATCACGACGATGTGGGTTAGACGAGGGTGATGACGTAAACTCTTCCAACGAACAGTTGACGATGTAGGAAGAAACCCGAAAATTAAGCATCAGTCATGAAGAAAATCTGCATAAACGATAGATTCATCACGACGAAAACAGCACGGTCATTGTTCCGGGTCGGGGACGAGTGGCGATGACGTCATAATAAACAACTCTGGACATCAAATAAATGCCGGCCTTTGAACTACTACTCAGCACGAACCAAAGATGAAAACGGTCACATCTGTAGTTCTAACCTTGACGGGAATCAATGGGCGATGAGAGACCCGATATAGTCGCTGGATATCGCGCCGGTCAACCAAAAGTCCGTCTCTGGCAAACGACGACGACTCGAGCAGGCCACATCACGCGTCGAAAAGTCCATTCATCACGGTCCAAGGTCAGGGTCTGGTACACAACTGAGTCCCGATCAAATTAAACAACCGTTGATACTGTAGATTACGACGTACTGCTGTAGATAACGGGCGAATCTAGATCTAGATGAAGGCGTACTGCTAGCTACAGATGAGATGACATCACGGCAAGTGTAGATGGGAACGTACTGCGACAGATAAGTTCAGCAAACCGCTGCTTCCACCATATGTTGCGAAGTGAGTTTCGGTACAGGGTCGATGCTGAACGCGACGAACAATAGATGACGACGATCCAAAAAGAGAACACTGAACGACGCCACGATGTTTCCATATTTTATTACATATAATAAACAGCTACATCAACAGCAGACACAGGACGAAGACTTCCTAACACAACCTAACATGACGACGACAAGACGCAGACTGACTTCCAACTATCCTCATAACAACGAAAACATTCTCTCTTACGTCACATCCTTATTTATTCACGCATTCATAATCTTTTATTAATATCGCTACACACATACTCTCAAACCATCCACAACTATATTAACTCCATTCAACTACACACATACTCTCAAACTCATTCAATATACTTAAGTCCATTCACAACACTTATTTATTTCTTTGTTTTGTTTTTAATTGGAGAAATTTTGAAAATCCCCCCGCCACCCCTCCCCCCTACCTTGTCGGAAAAATGTCTGGAAGAAACACTGAGCAAGGGAAGCAGAGAATACGTAACGCGTCAAGGCAGATTCTTATTCTTTCAACACAGGGAAAATAAGGCCACTGTTCGTTTTCTAGAGATTCAAGATGCCCAGAATCCTCTTTCAATTTTTTATATATCTCACAATCAGATTCATCTACCACATTGCAGACAATATTTACAATACGTATTTTTCTTCGCCAAATTTGCAGTTTTGATAAAAATTCAAAGAGATTATCCTGAAAACAGATAATATTCGTTCATTTTCCCTGATGCTTCAGGTTAAGCTTATGTTGATGTTGGAATATATCTGCTAGGTATGCTACTCTTTCCAACCACTCTTTTGACAGCCAACGTACTGTAGTGAAGAAAAGCAGAACTTTGTGATGTTTATCATTTCTTTGCACAGTTCTTTAAACAGACGTATGTTTAGGACTCTGGATTTAATATTATAATTTACGACGTTTATTAGCAATGGTGTCGGAAGAGTCTTGCTGGCGAGGGCATACCGGTGAATCATGCAGTAGATTTCCCGTGGGTTAGGCAGCTAAATATTTTATCGGTTTCTAAAAGCCCGATTTTGACCCAAACATAGATAAAGCACCATCCATACAATTAATCCTACAGACGTTTTTCCATTTTAATCATCAAGCTTCAAAAAAAAGTATTTTTTCTCTCCATGATATATTTTACAAAGACAAGCAACTGCGAATACGAACTTACGTCTGTTTATTCATCAACTTGAAAATCAAACAATGGTGAAAGCTTGATTTCATTTAAAATTTGTTCTTTAACTATCCAAGGAAATAGCTGCTATAAGTCGTTGAATAGTATTATTATACAGAGATACTTGTTGCATCTTTATTGCACCGGAACCTTCAAGAATTAATTTCACCATCTTCAACATGCAGGGTTTGATGAAATTTTGTCCTATTGTTGTTTTTTTTTTGTTTTTTTTTTTTTTGCTTGGCAATTTCTATCGCGACTTCATTGTATGATTTCCCTAATGCTGTGTTTCATTTTTGAAAACATGTTCGATTAAGACTCTGACAATTGCAACTAACTTCCAGAGTTTCTTCCAGTTCGCCCCCCCCCCCGGAGAAAAAAGTCTGGAAGAAACACTGCTAACTTCATGCCGACAAAAGAGCTCCATGTCTTTTTGGTGTACCGTATGACTCGTCTCAAAATGACGTTTAAGTTTTGAAGGTTTCATAGACCCATGGCTGAGATCAACTTTGCACGTTACGCATTGTTTTTCTTAATTTCATTTCCTGAGATGTTAGTAAAGCTGAATTTCAGATATTCTTCTAATTTCTAAATATTTGTTGTTGTTTTTTTTTCATTGCTAGGGTTTAGTCTACCAGTTCGCGACCCCCAAGAAAGCCATTCGCGACCCCAATGCTCTACAGACTTAACTGGACAATCGTTCACATTTTATTCAATTGGAATTGGCCGAACTATATTTTTTTTAATCGCGAAAGAGTCATTGCAAAGTTTAGCAAACAAATATCATTCGATAAAATACTATAATACCCCAATTTATACATCGCACGAACGTAGGCGCCTTTGCGCCTGATTTAATTTAGTGAGCTGCGCCTGTTGCAGTTTTACTCCCCAAAGTTTTATGTCACTAGGATGAACGGTGTCTAACCGCATCAAGACTTTTTATATACCGTATTATAGAGACAAATCGCATCGAACTTTGCCGGTGCGCCGCCCTTGTGACATTGAATCTTCTTCCCCACCACCCCCCCCCCACCCCTTTCAACACAGAAAGAAACCTATTCAGCAACTCCCCAAAGTGTGATGGCGATAGGTGAAAGGTGTAGTAATGCCATAAGGACAAATCAACAAACAAACCCACATACATTCATTTATATATAAATATATATATATATATATATATATATATATATATGTATGTATATATTATATATATATGTATGTATATATTATATATATATATATATATATATATATTATATATATATATATATATATATATTGGTCTAGATCTATATATCATAACAGCCTATCCAATCATAATAACCCTAAAAAACGGAATTAACGCTTTCTGATTAATTAATAGCTGAAAATATTTATTATGTCTTTTAAAAAAAGATAAATTAAACATCAATAATAATCATAATAATAAATTGTTTCTTATGTCTAAAAAATTTAATCATTTACAGCTACATTAATTAATACATTTTGTTGCTCACTTCAATTATCATAATTATGATCAACTTAATGGGTTAAATAATTATTTATACAAAATTTAAAATTGCATAAAATGGAATATATTCAATTTATTCAAACCCACATACATTCATTTATTTATATATATATATATATATATGTATATATATATATATATATATATATATATATATATATATATATATATATATATATATATGTATAGATTGGTCTAGACCAGGGGTCTCCAAACTTTTCAGTCCGAGGGCCGCATTAGCTATCAAATTTCAGTTCGGGGCCAGTTTCTTCCAGATATGTCTTTAATTTTTCTGGGCAAAGTTCCTCAGCCATCACCAGCAAACATTATTTCCGTGGACAAAAAGATCTCCGCGGGCCGGATGAAAGGACCTCGCGGGCCGCATATGGCCCGCGGGCCGTAGTTTGGAGACCCCTGGTCTAGACCTATATATCATAACAGCCGATCCAATCATAATAACCCAAAAAAAACGGAATTAACGCTAATTAAAAGCTGAAAATATTTATTATGTCTTTAAAAAAAAGATAAATTAAACATCAATAATAATCATAATAATAAATTGTATCTTATGTCTTAAAAATTTAATCATTTTCAGCTACATTAATTAATACATTTTGTTGCTCACTTCAATTATCATAATTATGATCAACTTAATGGGTTAAATAATTAGTTATACAAAATTTAAAATTGCATAAAATGAATTATATTCAATATAGAATAAGTATTACTTCAATGATTCAAATTATAATTGTACATTTAAAATGTTGGTGTTGATTAATGGTTTGTATTAATTGTATGGGTAATGTAAAGGGTAAGAATTTAGCCATCTTATTTTCCAAAAAACCTGAACAAAGCTAGCCATAACACCTTGTACAAGATAATAAATGTGCTATGGTTATTCATGACATCCATTCTTTCCATGTAGTTTTTCTTCCAGTGTGTGAAATGTCTAGATAGCATATTAATCATTAGTAATACTTTGTATGACAAATATTACTATAAATGAAGAGTATTATGTCATTTATGACAAACATTAATGGTGTGTTTTTAGCCTCCACAATGTGGTATTAGTACAAAAGCAATAATTTTATATATAGATAATTAAAAAACTTTGTGAAAGAGAATTTAATGACCAACAACACATTCAAGTCCTGAGTAAAAATTTGTGTGCATAGATAAACTAGATTTTGATTAAATGTCACATTCATATTGTCTCTGGTAAATGAATATTTTTATGTTTAGATAAACTACATTTATAATTAAATTTTTTGTGACACACATCACATTCATATGGTCTCTCTGGTAAATGTATATTTTTATGCTCTGATAAATCACCTTTAAAATTATAGTAAAGGAACATTTTTATGTATTGATAAACTACATTTATACTTCAATTTTTTATGATACACATCACATTCATATGTTTTTATGTATTGTATTTTATGTATTATGTATTGATAATTGACCTTTATAATTAAATGGTAAATGAATATTTTTATGTATTGATAATTGACCTTTATAATTAAATTTTTTGTGACACACATCACATTCATATGGTTTCTCTGGTAAATGAATATTTTTATGTTCTGATAAATAACGTTTGTGATTAAATTTTTTGTGCTACACATCACATTCATATGGTCTCTCTGGTAAATGAATATTTTTATGTTTTGATAAATCCTCCTTATTCTTAAATTTTTTCTGGCACACATCACATCCATATGGTCTCTCCGGTAAATGAATTTTTTTGTGTGTAGATAAATGACCTTTACGATTAAATTTTTTATTACACACATCACATTCATATGGTCTCTCTGGTAAATTAAGTAAATGAATATTTTTATGTTTTGATAAATCACTTTTATGATTAAATTTTTTGTGACACACATCACATTCATATGGGCTCTCTGGTAAATGAATATTTTTATGTTTTGATAAATCACTTTTATGATTAAATTTTTTGTGACACACATCACATTCATATGGTTTCTCTGGTAAATGAATATTTTTATGTTCTGATAAATAACGTTTGTGATTAAATTTTTTGTGACACACATCACATTCATATGGTCTCTCTGGTAAATGAATATTTTTATGTTTTGATAAATCCTCCTTATTCTTAAATTTTTTCTGGCACACATCACATCCATATGGTCTCTCCGGTAAATGAATTTTTTTGTGTGTAGATAAAATACCTTTATGATTAAATTTTTTATTACACACATCACATTCATATGGTCTCTCTGGTAAATGAATATTTTTATGTTCTGATAAATGTCCTTTCTGACTATATTTTTTGTGACACACATCACATTCATATGGTTTCTCTGGTAAATGAATATTTTTATGCTCTGATAAATCACCTTTACGATTAAATTTTTTATGACACACATCACATTCATATGGTCTCTCTGGTAAATGAATATTTTTATGTTCTGATAAATGTCCTTTCTGACTATATTTTTTGTGACACACATCACATTCATATGGTTTCTCTGGTAAATGAATATTTTTATGTTCTGATAAATGTCCTTTCTGACTAAATTTTTTGTGACACACATCACATTCATATGGTTTCTCTGGTAAATGAATATTTTTATGTCTATATAAATTAGATTTTTGAGAAAAAAATTTATGACAAACAACACATTCATATGGTCTCTCTGGTAAATGAATATTTTTATGTATAGATAATGCAGATTTTAGAGCAAAACTTTTATGACAAACACCACATTTATGTGGCTTGAGACTAGAATGGATAGCTATTTCATGGCTAGATAAATTACTCTTCTTTGTAAACTTTTTATGACACACACCACATTCATATGGACTTTCTCCTAAATGTATCTTTATATGGTTTGCTAAATAATTTTTGTTATGATATTTTTTATGACACACATAGCATTCATATGGCTTATTAATTCCAGAATGAATATTTGTGTGTGTGGATAAACTAGACTTTGTAGTGAGCTTTTTAGACAAACTAGACTTATTGTATACCTGTTCTAGGTTTATTTTGTTAATCTGTTCACCCTGACTGATCATAACAACTTCTTGCTGATGAAAATCATGACCATATGGATTCACCCTTGTGTGAATGTTTATGTGTTGTTTAACATGATCAAAATGGGAAAATCTTTGACAACACATATCACACTTGTATGTCTTCAGTCCCTTATTGCTAACCAGATATTCTGTTGGGAGATTATCAATCAATTTTGTATTCAATGACTTGAGTTCTTTTAATTCATTTTGAAGATCTGATTTTAAAACTGCTAAATTTTCTTTAAAATCAGTTGAATCCGATGGGGAAGAACGTTGTTGCTGTGCTTTGAAACCATTTTGTTTTTCACTCTCCAAAGATGAAATTGTTAATATCTCAGGTTTTATATCTTCAAAAATTGAAAATGCTGTTGATAGATTTGGTTTCATGTCTTCAGAAGATGAAAATGTTGGGTTATCTTGTTTCATCTCTTCTAAATTAAACAAAGGCTTTGTTTTATAAATATTTTTATCTTCTAAAGCTAAAAGTTGCATTGTTTCCTCAGAGTATTTGTCTTTAACAGTTGAAAATTGTGTTGATACATTTTGCTTTATATCTTCAGAATTTGAAAAGATTGTTGATATATTTGTTTGTACTTCTTCTGAACTTGAAATAGCTGATGTTTCATCTGATTTCATGTCCATAAATGTAATGATTTCGTCACACAATTCCTGTTTAGCCATAACTAAACTCTCCCAAACTATACCATTAGTGTTGTTTGTGTTTTCCATAGCTTTAGATTGATGAATTATTGCACAAAAACTGAAATAAAAATAATCTTGATTAGAAAACCAAATTAAAATTTCTTTTTGAAAATATATTGATTGCATTTTTAAAAAATGTATAAATATTTCATAACACCATAGAGTTTTTTAAGTCATAAAAAAGATCAAACAGGCCTTATTGAGCTATGGTAACATTTGTTTTAATAACTGAAGTGTCTATTATCAATTAGAAGTTTATGAATAGATTAATAGTTAAAAACAGTGTTCATGCCTTAGCACACCATGGTTGGGTGGTACAGTGCACATCTGTTAACCCATATCCCCAGAGTTTGAATCTCAGTAGGGAATCATATAATCATGTTTTCTTTGTCTTTTGCCTTTATTAATCAAAGGGCGACTCCTTTTTTTAATAAGCCATATTGTTTTTCTCTATATAATTTGTCACAGTAAAAATCTACTTTTTTAAGAAAAGCATACCAACAAACTAAAATGAGTAAATGTAACTTAGTAAACATTGGTGGGTGATACAACTTGGTGACGTCATTTATGGACACATTTTTTTCCCCCGCTGATAAGTACAAAGACCTTACTAAATTTTAAGTTTCTCACCGCAAGTGTTTGAATGTAATCTTTGTATCGACGTGCATTTTTTGTGTTATTACTGTAGCCTGGGCGACAAAGCTGTTTTATCGTGAGCGTTTATGACGCGAGCGCTTAGCCACGTACCTTGTTCTTATTGATGAGCGGTTTTGTCAGGGATTTCAGTGTTGGTTTTGTCAGGGATTTTAATGTCAGTTTTGTCGGGGATTTCAATGTCGGTTTAGTCGGGGATTTCAATGTCGGTTTTATCGTGGATTTCAATGTCGGGAGGTCTGTCCTATGGACAGTAGCATTTTGTGGTGGGATATTTTCAAGGGAGCCGTATGTCACAAGGCCATTTATTTTTAACGGCATTGATTGTCAGAACCTTTAATATTGCCCTGTCTGAGTATTTTTTGATGCATGAGGATAACTAATATACAGCTTCTTGTTACAATTTTAGCAAACATAGTTTATACTTGCCTACATTTTTATTTTGCTTTATAATTATATATGTGTTTTTATTTGCTAGTTATATTTTATTTATTGTTATGCAAATTAAGTATGTTTTATATTCCAGACAGAATATGCACTTCTAAAGCAGAGCAGAAACCATATGTAAAACTATATAAATTATAATAAAGCTCTTTGGTGTACTCCTATATATAAATTATTCATCATTATTTCTTTTTACTCTAATAAAATTACAAGCATATTTATTGAGATTAAAATTAAATGAAGCCCAGCAATGGACAGCATTTGAGCCAGCAGTGAAGAAAAAAGTATTTCTTTCAAAATGACTAATGTTCTTTAGAAATGCTAAATATTTTGGTATAAATAAGAAACATTATTATAAACCTAAATTAAACTAAATCCTCATTTAAAAGTAGTGTGGTTATGACTATGCCCAGCTGTCTTCAATTTCCATAAAGAATATTAGGTACTCATTACACCTGGGTGGACTCGGGGATGTCTTATCAACCTCAGTCCTGGATCCGAACTTGAGGTTTATGGTTAACATTTTGGCGTTCTATCATTGGACTATGTCATCCCTTCATTTAATTACAATCACTGAATCAGACTAAGGGTCTTAAATGATTTGCCATCAATGTAACATCAACATATATATTTTCACTTTTGGAACAATGATGATAATCATTTATATAATTACAAATTGAGTTGTATCAATTCTTCAGCTTAATGAAAAGAAAAACATACCTTTATGATAATTATTTAGTAATAGACACACTTTTAAAACTTCATTCGAGCAAGCTCTGTGCTTGATATTTTTAATAGATAGAACTCACACTCAGGTTGTGCGAAAAGTTTTGGTTTTTTAAAAGGGGGGTACCTCCTTCAACTGTATATTTCTGGCAAACAGATGGAGCCACGACCAATATTTTGATTATTTCTTTTGTAGTATTGAGTTATCTAAAGGTAAGCAAATTTTGGGGCTTAAATGCTCAGTAGTTTAAATTTGTCATAATTTTAGTATTTCACATAAACCAGACTTCGGTTTTGTAGAATTGCATGATTTATCAGCTTTGCATCATGATATACACAAATCTTTCATGCTATGATCAATATTTTGATATTATTCATTGACACACCCATAGTTACTCTTTCTGAGTTATTTTGAGCTTAATATTTCAAAGAGTTAAAATTTAAACTGTGGTTGTATGAAAGCACTGCGTGTTCAAAAATAGGGGGTCCCATGTTCAACTTTTGTTGTTCAAAAATTCTAACCATAAATGTCTTATTTTTTGTTTTATTATGCTTCCATATATGATAAAAAAAGATACTGAAAAGTTTAAACAGATTCTACCATGTAGTTTACAGGCTATGATCATTTTAGTGCACACTAAAAAATTCTTTATCACAGAAATTTAAAAAAATCCTGTTAAAAAATGCACCTTTTATAATAGAAGAAAAAGCATAGCTTTTTAACCATTAAAGCTACATCAAAAAGGAAAACTGTTCTGTGATTCTAATTTTTTGCTCCTTTTACTTGCAGTCATTGTATTGCAATAAAACCATATAATTTTTAAAATTCTATCCTAGTACCTAATATAATCAACAAATTTCTGTAATTATTTCACATTTTTAGAAAGATTTATGTTGTAAAAGTTTTAAAGAAATGTTTCAACCCTCCATTCATGTACCTGTTTTTAAACAAATGTATTAAAACTTTTCAGTAATGAAAATTATGAAAATAATTTTAAAAAAAAGACTCATTAACCTCCGGATTAAAAGAAATACTCTGGAGTAAGCATTAGCTCATTTTCGCGCCAAATTTGAGTAACTTCTTAATAATTTAATAATATTACATAATATTTATTCAGTATATTAATTTTCAGAGGATTTTTTCTATGATCTTAGCGTTTCTTAATTTTCAAAAATCCTTTAAAACATGTTTTCGAATAGTATTAAGTTCATATTTTACATTTTCCATGTTATTTTCAGTGTGTTGAACAATTTTGCGAGAACTGGCAAACACGACTAGGCCTAAGAATGCCTAACATCTAGTGACGTATCATAAAAATATTGCTTTTTTTTATCATGTTGGCAGACACATAGTTAACTTAGATTTAATCATACACTTGCAGTTAAATAATATTAAATATCATAATAGGCCTAATCAATAGCAGTTTGAATTTAGTTTTGTAATTCTGGTAACAGATTTTCAATTTACTATAAAATCTATTAGGCATATTTTCCTTTATTTTTCCATGCCTTCTAGAAATTAAATATGACACTGTTTTTCTTTTCCATATAGGCTACAGCAATCATGAGGAATCAGGGTTAAGTCTTAGTTCACTATGGCTAACTGGCATAATTCATTTATCAAGTTATATCTGACATACAGACCAGCAAAAGGAATAGGTCTATTTATATGGTATCCTAAGTATAACTAAGTATCTAATCTGTTTAGTTTGATTGAACCCTTATTAATATTATTTTACTCAAACACTTTTTATTAATTGACAAAGCTTCAGGTGGATTCCCAAGCCAAGATTCATTCATATTTTATTAATAGTAGAACTTCAGTTGGTAATAATACTAAAACCTTGTTAAAAATATGTGTGTCCCATTGATTTATGGTACATTTTCTATTCTTCGACTGACATCTCTAACAAAGACTAAATGTTTACACTAAACTACTTGTGTCTTTTACTTTAGTCAGTGTATTTTTAGGTGCCCTTTTGTTTTGTTTTTTAAACCCATACAGGATTCAGGATTATGCATTTAAATTAATTTTGTTAATGACAAATAAATTGCTCATTCAAGTAAACTCTTTACGTTAAACACAATTTAATAAAAATCCAAAATTTTAAAAAAAATAATTTATATTTTTAAATACTGCAGTCATTCAGTTTGGCTACAAGATCTGCATAAAGTTATTGCTGTTTTACCTTTAATCATTGCTTAAATATCTTTTTCAAAGGTGTGGAAGCTGCACAGCTAACGACTAGTCAGTTTAACATAAGAGATGTTGGATGGCAAAGTGTAGTGAAGACTTGGTTATCTGAGGTATTTACTCCTTTCAGATTCAATTTTATCTTAGGGTATATGTGTATTAATTTTGTAACTATTCGTAATTGATGTGTTATTAGTGTTTGTGCCAAACTAGCCTTTCAGTACATGAATTTATCCTTTTTACAAGTATTTTATTCTTCTCTTTGCAGCTCTGCTTAAGGAACAACATGCATCTGATAATGCTGATATCCATAGTGAGCAGACAGTAAGACTGTACAATGAAATTTAATATCTTGATGTCGCATCAATTACAGGAAATTCAGTTATAATAATTCAGCTAATGAAATAGTGCCAAATTTTCTCATCTTCTGTTATGTCTTATGTCCTATTGATGATGTTGATGATGTCTATTTTTAGTCATGTATGCTTTGCAATTCTAAAACTTAGGTTTATTAAAATGTATCCAGGATGTTTTAACTGGTGTTGTTACTTGTTATGGTTTGACATTTTTTCATTATTGAATAAACTTTGTTTTATTTATAACATTTCTTTCTATTCCTGTGCATCAAAGCTATGATTAAAACACTACTATTAATATTAGCATGGAGTTATGTTACAAATGCTTTTCACAAGCATACGTTTACTATTTCTTTATGGGTATTAATTACTATTAGTATTTGGAAATAGCTAGACTATATGGAATTGGCTTACTATTTATCCAACTTAAAAAAAAAATCCAAATAAACATGGCATAAAAATGCTTAAACAGTGTTGTCGCATAATTTCCACCACCCCAGGTACAGTGCACTACATCTACATGTATTACAATGTTTGGTCAACCATTATTGTGTTGTATGTGTAGGTCTGCTCTACTTCATCTACCCAAGTAACAAGTTACTATAATAAGTAATATGTAATTACACATTCCTAAAGAAAAACTGGTTGTAAAATAGTACAATAGTAGTAACATTATTTAGTATTCAGTCTAAGTATTAATAAATCAGTTTAAAAAATTAAACTAGATCTAGTTTATTTTAAAAGTTGCATTTTTTTAACACAATGTCAATCTGTTATGAGGATGACATTTAATTACTCATTTAATAAATCACTTCAGTCCAGTATAACTGAAACAATAAGCCTTATTATAATTTTTTAATTTTTCGAAAAATGCAAATACAGGATGATGCAATAAAATTATAATTTTTTGAAAAGTGCTAATCCGTGATGATGCAATGAAAAAACCATATGTGCCAATTTTGTTTTAGCCACGCCCACAATTTTTTAAAAGCCCATAAATTAGCTCCTAATGAAGCTAGAGACACAAAAATGGTATTGATGTGTTGGGAAAAAAATCCTTTTTTTGTGTGGTATAATTTTATCTGAAATTAATGTAGTTAAAAAACTACGAGCAACAACCTAATATAATCAAGAAGAGGTTCTGCCATTTAATAAACAACAAAAACTATCATTCTAGGCCCAGTAGTTTTTTTTATATGAATTTTTAAAGTGTTAGGTAAAACAGCTTATATGTTCATGTAAAGTTGCAAAATATTTAGTGCCCTTCTTTGGGTTTGTATAATGAAGTTATTAAACAAATAATGTTAAAAATGTGAACATTGATGCTAGAGAGTGTAGACAATAGGAATATGCAAGTGAAATAAAGATCAATTAAAAGGAAAAGAATTTATAATTACCTTAATTAAGCCCAATTAAGGCGTGTGGTGCAGTTCTACAATGATTGCCAAAAGTCACTTTTCATACTGCATATCTATGTTGTTATTGATGATATAAAGATAAAACTTAGCCCATATATGCCTAAGGATATGGAAATAGAAACTTACAAGTTAATACATGCTAGAAGAAAAAGAAAATCACATATAATGAAGTCTAACTAAGGGGGTGGGACTGAAATTTTGCATCAATAATACCTGGGTATTATACTCATACTGTAATATGATATGATTAGGATTATGTTGAAGTATCTAAATATTAGTAGCATTAGTTGTAGGCTACTTTTAATAAGTAGCCAAGGATTGCTAATCAATAAATGGTGTAACAGAAACTAGATGAGATGTGTGGCAACGGAATGATAGACAGCTGCCTTATTTGCTAATCTGAACCTACAATATAAAAAACATTGCTGTTGCTTAGTTTGTTATTTGTAAGTAAAATTAAAGGAAGTGGCTATTCGGACCCGGGTCCTAATAGCCTCGGCCACTATTGGGACCCGGCATTAAGTTCGTTAAGCACTTGTACAACCTGTATTAAAATTATACCTTTTATGTTTAGTCTATTTGATTTTTCTTGTGGATTTGCTCGTATTTTGTTGTTTTTTATTGTAATTAGTTATGCGGATTAGCTAGCGTTAGTTCTTGCATTGCTATTTCTAAATACCCTATATTTAGCTCTGTATACACAATCATTAAATTTTGTGAAATTATCGTTAGATGTCGCGGTCGAGTGGAGAACGCTGTACCTCACGTTTCTTGATCAGTTACGGGATCGGAACCTATCAAAGCTCTTGTTTTTGCGTGAAGTAAAGTGTATTTATCTAAGTTTAACGTTCCATTGAATTGTTTGCATAGGTGTCTTTTTTAAATTGTTTTTTTTTTTAAATTTAAATAGATTTTTTTTCTAGATTTAGGGTTTTAAACACGCCAATTATAAAAACATCGCTCTATTGTTCGCCCGCTCGCGTTTTCTGGTCAGCGCAAGAAAAATACCGACATGTTCTAGCCAGGGTCACTGTGAGTTCACATTGGTTTAGACGTGAACAGTGTAGGCGTATAGCATACGTCATAGCAAGACCATTTCTATGAGCTTGTCGAGATTTGTCGTCGTCGTAGAACTTTTGTATATTGGCTATTGGGACCCGGGTCCGAATAGATGCATCCAAAATTAAATCACATTGTTTAAAGTGTTACTGTTTCTGTTTTCTTTTTGACTTTTAAAAAAATGTATCTCTGTTGCTTTAGATCAAATTATTGTTAAAGTGTTAAATGTTCCTATTTTATCTTTGACTTAGTTTTTTGTTTTTTAATTTCCATTGCCTCTATACTATAGCACTATATTTTAACTATTAGGCCTATTTCTATTTGATTTTTATATTACTCATTGGTTAGGCTATCTATAGCCTACCATTACTACTAAAAAAAAGTTTAAAATTTAAATGGAATTAGTTTAGGCTGGAGAGCAATATTTAATATTTAGTTATTTCTTCTTCTTCTTCGTTCTTAATTATTAGTGTTGAAGGGGATCGAGATTTATCTGCCAGTGGGTTTGAACTCGAGACTTTGTTCGATTTTATCAACCATGAGCATTTTGCCGACTCGACCACGCCTCCAACACAATTAAGCGTTACGTGTAAACTAGTTATGCGCCATTGACTCCGAATTCAGCCTGCTTTTCTTTTTGGATTTGCTTCCATAGCCTTTGTCCAACCAAGAACAAACTACAAGGCAGTAGTTGTTTAATTTTGGAGTTGTCTCTCCTAGAATAGTGGCTGTCCCCAGCTAACGAGCCTCATCTGCCAGAGGGTTCGAACTCGAGACTTTTCAGTTTAGCAACAATGAGCTTTTACCGACTCGACCACGCCGACCCCTCTAATCTTTAGATCTAGGGCCTATTTAAAATTTTAATTAGGTATTATTTACTAATATTTACCTGGGAGAATGTTTACACCGATGTCCGATAATAAAATCTTCTTTAAAAAAGGGGTGTTAGGTTACTGGTAGACTAGTTAACTAAATAAACACATGGCTGACTAATGTAAATGCTAACCTTGTCCCTAACCCTAACCTCAACCCTGGTCCTGCCATACATGATACGCATAACCCTAAAATAATTTAGTATGTAGCATTAGAACAAAGGGAGATAATTTTCAGACAAAAACCTGCCCAGAGCTTTTGACTGATTTTTCAAATTTTGTTTTTACCACTGTCTCTTATTAATTTTAAATTAATATCATATTAATTTCCAATACACAAAGCAACTACATTTTCAAAATCTACTGAGGTTCAGCTATAGCCTAATGCAATTACTTTTCATTTTCTTTCATTTTTGCCTATAAATAAATTGATCTGAAAACAATATATGCTCTAAATCAACTTTATTTTAATATATAAACACTTGCCTGCACACAAAACTATGCAAAATCAGTTAAATAAACCACGTGTGATTCTTATTTAATAAAGAAATTGTGATAGAATTTTACAAATACATTTTTTATGATTTTTTTAAGATTTGGACCTTTATCAGCTATGTTTTTTTTCCTATATAATTAGTCATAAGAAAAATGTACATTTTTAAAAATAAAGCATAACATCAAACAGAAACAAGCCTGCACAATTATTAATGCAAATTTACATAAAGGAAACACCCCTGATTCATAATATATCATTAGAATTCAAAAAAATTTTGCAAACATATTTTATAAAATTTTCATTTTTGTTTCCCACTAGTTTCATTTTTTACAGAGATTATATAAGACCATACATTTTAAACAGAAAAAAAATTATTTCTCCTCTCTTGTTGAAGCTAGAAATATAAATTTGGTACCAATGGAATTCTTAATCCTTCCTCTAACTAACTCATATGATTTTAAGATTAAATACTCAAAAATTAATTTTGAATGCTACACCTACAACTACAACCTACCCTAATTTAGTTAGTAATGGACACCAGCGAGAAAAGTCTCAAAGGCATTTGAGAGGTCCATAAATTAATTTTAAAATCTTGCACGCCGTAGTTACAATTAATATGGTTATAAAATCCTGCCTGTCTGGTTTTTTTCTGACTTTACTAAAGATTGGATGTATTTGATGTTTTTAATATTTTCGGTAACTAAATAAAAATAAAAAAAAAGCAAAAACAATTTGGTTTTCACGTGTAATGGCGACATAAACAATGGCCGCCATAAATTTTATTGTACACATTGTAAGCTAAAAATAGAAAAAATAGGTCATGGTGTTTAAATTTGCATAGTTATTTAAAAACTTGATCTGCAAAGTTTTGTAAACAAAATAACTATAAAGTGGGGCTGTCAGAAATCGATCAGGGAGTTCTTTTACAGCCAATCAATGTTTGCCTTTTGAAAGTGAAACATCGGGTTATAACTTAGGCTTGATGAAAATAAACAGAAATGTAGCCTTAAACTCGACAAATTATTTTCAAGTTCTCTGAATCTGCAACTTGTATAGCATTGATTCTAAAAATATTAAATTTCTCAATGGACACCAGCGAGTTGACGAGATTCCTTCCGTAATGTTGTTGACATGGAATAAAAATGTGCTTTTTTAGATTTAGAACCATAAAACTAATAAAAGATAAAATTTTATTAAAAACTTAAGCCTAAAATTAATTCAGAAATGTAATATTTTTAGAATCAATGCTATACAAGTTGCAGATCCAGAGAACTTGAAAATAATTTGTTGAGTTAAAGGCTACATTTCTATTTATTTTCATCAAGCCTAAGTTATAACCCGATGTTTCACTTTCGTAAGACAAACATTGATTGGCTGTAAAGGAACTCCGTGATTGATTTCTGACAGCCCCACTTTATAGTTATTTTGTTTACAAAACTTTGCAGATCAAGTTTTTAAATAACTATGCAAATTTAAACACCATGACCTATTTTTTCTATTTTTAGCTTACAATGTGTACAATAAAATTTATGGCGGCCATTGTTTATGTCGCCATTACACATGAAAACCAAATTGTTTTTGCTTTTTTTTAATTTTTATTTAGTTACTGAAAATTTTAAAAACATCAAATAGGCCTACACCCAATCTTTAGTAAAGTCCGAAAAAAACCATACAGACAGGATTTTATAACCATATTAATTGTAACTACGCCGTGCCTGATTTTTAAATTAATTTATGCACCTCTCAAATACCTTTGAGACTTTTCTCGCTGGTGTCCATTAGTTTTAGGCTTAAGTTTTTAATAAAATTTTATCTTTTATTATTTTTACGATCCTAAAACTAAGAAAGCACATTTTTATTCCATGTCAACAACATTACGGAAGGAATCTTGTCAACTCGCTGGTGTCCATTTGCCATTAGCCTTAGGGCATTAGGGCCTAATGGCCCTAAGGCCTAAGCCGCCGTAGTATGTAGCTTTTTCTGACAGGGGCAGACAACCTACCCCCAAAATCTCACCATGAAAAATTTTTGTGTTTTTAAAAAAAATATTTGGGGTACTCTCTGGTTTTTTGGAAATAAAAAAGTACTCTGCTGTTTCCTGTCATTTCTACCACGTTTTTTGAACAGGAGAGGATCAGCTCTGTAATGAAGTAAAATTTTCATTTTTCCGATGTTTTTTTACCAAGAAAACTTCAAGTGAAAAATTAGGTAAGCTTGAACCTATTACATTTATAATTATAACATTATTCTTTTAGTAGAAATAAGAATAACTTTACAGAAGAACCATTTACTCTTGTAACTAAACCATAAAAAGTTAAAAAACTCATCAGCAATTTACTTAAATTAATTTTTTCCCTAACTCAGTAGGGAAGCTTTTTTCAGCTGCCATCTTGTTTCCGTAATAGAGAATATATAGTAAAAAATGTACTCATCTTAAAACCTTAGTGTTGCAATAAATAGCTGAGACTTTTAGGAGAATTGAGAATAACAATACAGAAGAACCATTTATTCTTGTAACTGAATCATATAAAGTTAAAAAACTCATCAGCAATTTACTTAAATTAATTTTTTCCCTAACTCAGTAGGGAAGCTTTTTTCAGCTGCCATCTTGTTTCCGTAATAGAGAATATATAGTAAAAAATGTACTCATCTTAAAACCTTAGTGTTGCAATAAATAGCTGAGACTTTTAGGAGAATTGAGAATAACAATACAGAAGAACCATTTATTCTTGTAACTGAATCATATAAAGTTAAAAAACTCATCAGCAATTTACTTAAATTAATTTTTTCGCTAACTCAGTAAGGCAGCTTTTTTCAGCTGCCATCTTGTTTCCCCAATAGAGAAAATATAGTAAAAAATGTACCCATCTTAAAACCGGTAAACGGAAAAAAAGTCACAGGAATAAAAAAAAAGAAAAAAAGTCACAGTTTTTGCTAGGAAAAAAAGTCACAGAAAAAAGTCACAGTGGAAAAATTTTATCGGAAAAAAGTCACAGAAATAAAGTCACAAAAATCTTTTTAGAAATATTTTTATTAATTTGTTAAGAATTGTAAAATTTTTTATGTTTATTGTTGTGGGTTGTATTTTTTTATAGCATAAATTATTTATAGACGTTAAAAGATTATGATTTATAACAATTGCAAGTAAAAATACTCTAAGATAGTTAACACAACAATCTCAACTTTTGTTACGTATTTAGTTAAATACGCGGTAGAAAAGTTAATTATAAAAGAAATTTAGGCACATTTTGCCGTAGGCTATTCTCTGGTCGGCCTCTCCTCAGTAGGCATTGTCCGAACATATTTTGTGTTGTTGACATTATGCGTCAATGACAGCCTTTGAACCTTGTCGGCTTTCTGTTTTGATCCTAAGTTTTGTTATGTAATGAGCAAGATAAATGTGGGGAGTAAAGGTGGTTGATCTAAACATAACTATTGTTGCCATGAGTTGAGGGCAGCAAGTCAGATGAACTTACCATTTCACGGTAATTTAATATTGGTATTTTAAAAAAAACACGATGAAAAACGTGGACTTTGGAGCATTCTATTAAATGCTACTAATCTTAAGTTTAATAAAATACTTAAAAAAAACTTTTTAAAAAACCACGTTTTTCTTGTGGACTAAAAAGTAGAAAATAAATTTTCATACATTTGATGACAAAAAACGTGGGTACGTTCACCATCAAATTTCCCGACCCATCTGCCCGACCCAAGTTTTTTGTCATCAAATGTATGAAAATTTATTTTCTACTTTTTAGTCCACAAGAAAAACGTGGTTTTTTAAAAAGTTTTTTTTAAGTATTTTATTTTCTCCTTTTTAGTCCGTTGCTACACATGAAAAACGTGGTTTTTAAAAAAGTTTTTTATATAGTTTATTTTCTACTATATCTAATGACTTGATTAAGTATGACTTGACTAAGTGTTTATAAATACACCGACTAAAAATCTTGAGCGACCAGGATTCGAACCTGGGTTGTCGCGGCCACAACGCGAAGTACTAACCACTATACGATCACGGCCAGCGCGCTCACATCGAATGGAGCCGAAGTAACTGTGTCAATAGGCCTCCAGTCTTGTCGGTATCTTTAGAAATCATGTCCTCAATTTTATGGTCCTTGGGGCGTAATTAAATTAAGCTAATTACGGTCTCTAATTGCTAGTTTTTATGATTGCATCTGAAATTGTTAGGCGAAAGTAGCCTACATGCCAAATTTCAGATCTATTGAGCAATCAGAAGTGGGCTAATTTTCGATGTCAATTTTAACAACAAACACACGCGAAGCTGAGTTAATAAAAACGTGTTAAAATAATTACAATCTACATACTTCATAATAAATATTTTTAGATGAATTATAAAAATTCCAATGCGTATACAGCCTACACCCATTACATTATATTTAATTAATCCTAAGTTGATTTGCACTCTCTAAATATTTAATACATAAAAGTATTAACAAATATATCATGCAAATATATATTTGTGACTTTTTTTCCTGTGACTTTTTTTCTGTGTTTCTTTTTCCTGTGACTTTTTTTCCTACAATCCTTAAAACCTTAGTGCTGCAATAAATAGCTGAGACTTTTAGCAGAATTGAGAATAACAATACAGAAGAACCATTTATTCTTGTAACTGAATCATAAAAAGTTAAAAAACTCATCAGCAATTTACTTAAATTAATTTTTTCCCTAACTCAGTAAGGCAGCTTTTTCAGCTGCTATCTTGTTTCTGTAATAGATAATATATAGTAAAATATATACTCAGTTCAAAACTCCAGTACTTTAATAAATAGTTGAAGATTGAAGCAGAAAAGTGAATAACTATACAGAAGAATCTTTTTCCCTTGTAATAGAATTATAAAATGTTCAAAAAGAAGTCAGCAATTTACTGAAATTAATTTTTTCTTTTACAGAATTAAGTTACAAATTTCTTCACATATCTAGTGAATTTTGCAGAGCGTGCTGTTCCAGACAGCCCTCAGAAATGATCAAGTAGATGAAGCTCAACCCCAGCAGCTGCTAGCGGACCGATGAGGATGTTTTTGGACAGAAGATAATGGCTGATATGGTTCACCAGTACCTGTTGGTGGACAATAGGCTCCTGCGATATGTCCTGTCTGTGCTCTTACAGTCTACGCAGGATGTTAAGGAACGGCAGATATCCCCTTACTTGACTGGTAGCTATTCTGACCCTTCTGAGGAAATGTTAAAATGGACTCAGCTCCTGCCCACAAGATCCATGCTGAGAGGATGCTGGGATATATGGACTGATGCGCTGAGCTCTAAACACCACTGGGTTTTCTGGATTTCAGGGTGAAGGCAAAGCTGAACTCAACCCTTCAGTGGCTGGAAAGGAAGTCAGAAGCAGAGCAGAAAGTCCAAGAGGGACAGCTCTGGGCTGGTAAGGACTGCAATTACTTGAGAAGGTTTTTGAATCAGAAGACTGGGATTCCTGTACAATCTCTAATTGTGGATCTTGCAAACAGTGACCTCAGTTTTGATTAATAGTTAGTGGTGAGTTATTCATTTTATTATTATTTGTTGAAACACCCAGCTATTGAATTGTTTTAATCAGCTCAATATAATGTGCTGGATAGTATTGACTGTATTGTATGTAAATTAGAACCTACACATGAGGTGAGTAAGATACAATTTTTCCCCTCATTTTAAATCAAAAATGTCTTTAAATAAAAAGCTAGATCTAGGCCTATTCATTAATTAGGTATAGCCTAGTTAACTATTATTCTTTGCATTTCAGGGTACTTAATTGTATATTTGTATTGTAATATTATAGCCAAAATGTAGTTTTAAGTTTTTAAAGATAGTGCTCTCTCGGGCCTAACAATTTAAATTTTGAAAGAAAATTATTTAGGCCTAGTATTAATATTAAATTTTTTAATTAGGCCTAGGCCTATGCGCAAAATAATACCAAATTATTATAGCTGTAATTAAATTTTCTGTGTTATTTCAGGGCTGATATTATTGTAACTTATTTGTGATAAATTGTGATATAATATTTCCAAATACAATTTTTTTAAGATCATTTTGCTGTTTTTGTTTTTTTGCTTTATGTGTTATCTCCCTTTTACAATATTTGTGTTGTTCGCCTCATTAAAAACAAAAAAAAAATGATTTCTCAGCTTCTAATTATAATTATTAATTAAGCTAGAAATACAAATGAAGTATCTATGTCATGTTTACCTTTAACACTATGTAATGTAACTAACAGGTTTATAAGGTATAAAACTCAATAATTCTAATCCAATGCTAGAAATCTACTACTAGATTCTATATCTTGTACTAATCTAGATCTAGATCTAGATCTACCTCTACCGACCCTAACTAAGACCTAAGAAGGCCAAGGCCTAATAATAAATAATTCCTAACCATAAAATTAGGTAGGATTACAATACTACTAACAACCCAACACCACTTTTTTAAAGAAGATTCCATTATCAGACACTGGTATCTATAATCATCCGAAGTTTTTAGTTAGTATTAAACTAAATTACTTAATTTATTATTTATTGTCACTCACTGCCATTCACAACACACCTCTCCATGACAACTCTTCTTACGTTTCAATCTAAAGAAAATCAAAAATCGGTTACACTTTTTAAGTGGCCTTGCACCCAGAGTTCCTCACTAGTGATCATCAAATAGCGGTCACGTGGTTTAAAAAAAAAATTGGTTGTCATTCAAAAGCCATGTTTTATAATAAAAAAAAGTTGTTAGCAAAATATGATTTATTTTTTCACAGAATGATAACCCTAATAGTTCTACAACCTCAAATTCATTTTTGTAACCTCCAGGCTGATATTTGAAAAGTTCTATTAATTTTAATGAGATCGACTTTAAAATTTAGCCTTCATTCTCCAAAGCAAATTTTAAAATGCTTTTCTGGCATATTTAGCCTAGCCACCTTATAACATGAAAACCCCCCATTTTGCTCGTGGTAAACATTTTTAAAAGTAATTCTAAGAAGGTCTCTCTAATACCGCGTTTACACTTACGACAATATATACTATACATTTCTGGAGCCCGCCAAAATAAAATTTGTCTTGAAACAATTTGTTCACAGAACATGTATACTTTAGCGTTCACACTAGAACATTGTTATAGAACATTTTATAAAACGATCATGACCTTTGACCCGGAGCGTCTGCTATATAGGCCCGGATAATTAAATAAAGAGAAATCAAAGTTAAATAATCATTAAAAAAGTTTTTAAAAACCCACGTTTTCTGATTGAACTAAAAAGTAGAAAATAAATGCTATACATCACAATAATGCAAGCGATCACTGCTATAAGCGATCAAATATTCTATGGTCATCCAAAAGAAAGCTTCCCTGAAAATTTCAGCGCGCTAGCTAACTGGGAAGTGCCAGAAATTTCGATCGCAAGATTTGTTGTTTTTACTCGGTTGTTTGCCTTGGATTCATGTACAAAGAGATGTATAAATGCATTATTTATTTACTCTCCTCTTGGTGTAGTATACCTGTCAAACCATTTTTTTTTTTTTTTTTTTTTTTAAATTATTTTATTTATTTATTTATTTATTTTTTCTCTGTTTTCGCCCTCTAGGTTAACTTAGGATTTGGGGATTTAGTTAGTATTTGTAGTATGTACTACAAATACTTGGGTGGGGGGTAGTGTTACGGGTCAGTCGTAGGTTAGATTAGAATAGGTTAGAATAGTCTAGAACTAGGGGAGAGAGCGTGTGTGAGTGGAGTTCACCTTACTGTGTAGTTACCCTTGTGTGTTTATGTCTTGTGGTCCCAAGGTCGAATGCGGGTATAAAAGGGGGAGTGAACGATTGTGGGGAGGTCAGCGGGTTAGTAGCGGTTAGGACGAGGGCTGTATGATACGCTTGAATGTATTGAGACGAATAAAAGTAGTGGAGTTCTACACGAATTGTTGTTGAATTCGGATCTAACACGGACGTAACAGCCCACCCAAACCACAACCAACCAAAACAACAAAACGCAAACATAACGCTAACACAATTACAAATACAAACGAAAACAAAAACCTAACAACAAACCCAATCACAACCACAAACACCAATACCAACACAAAAAAAAACAACGAAAAAGCAAACGAAAACAAACCAAATCCAAACGCAAAACCAACCAAAAACACAAATACAAACCCAAAGAAAAAAACACAAACAAAACGAAAAAAGAAAGAACAAAAACGAACCAAATCAAAACGCAACCACTAACGCAAACCCACCTAAACACAAAGAAAACACTAACGCGAACATAAACGCCCGGGCGGAATCACCTGTTTTAGCTTAATGAACGACTATAGTACCCCAACTTATTCATAGTCTTTTGCACTCACTTAAACGAACGCGCCTGTTTCAATTTAATGAACAATTTAATACTCCAAGCTTATCCGTAAAATACCTACAACATTTGCACTTGATCAATCCCCGCTATTTATGTAATTATTTTTTTTCCCAACACCAAAACAAAGTTAAAAAAAGTAAATTATTTTCCACTAATGCAATGGTTTTATAAAGGGAAGTAATTGTGTTTTCCTAATTTATCAAAGGGAAGTAAGCGCTATAGGACAAAATAAAGACATAATTAGAATTTTTGTAAAAGATGATATTCTTTTAAAACTTGTGTTTAATGAACATGCCGACAATTATTACTATAATTTGAAAAATGAAAATTATTTCCCAACACTTTCAATAGTAATTTTTTAACTCATAAATTTAGACAAATGCGCACGATAATTGTCTAACACTTAAATCCATCGAAGACCAACGACAAACATATGCGTTACATACAGAACTGAGCTTTATATATATATATATATATATATATATATATATATATATATATATATATATATATATATATGTGTGTGTTTGTGTGTGCGACAGTCTGGAAAAAAATTAACAATTACGCTTATTGTCGTTCCCTAAAACTTCACTGGACGCTAATTAAATTCCCCATAAGATGCCGAAACGAATAAAAAGTAGAAAATGAAAAGAGCTTAGAACAGTGGGCTCCATCGAACCCGAGAGGTTCGGTAATTCAGTCTCAGGGCTTCCGCGGAGGTCAAGACAGACACCCGACTCATACGACTCACGATCAAATTTTGTCGGTGTGGACGATACAACTATTATAAAGTGTTCGATGATTGCGCATATGAAACTGGTAGGGTTTGGTACTCCAAAAAGAACCACTGCTTTAGAGTGTATTTTGTAGAAGGTGCAAGCCTTATTTGGTCTACTTTTGGTCGTGTCTTTAGAACAATTTCGATAATAGTATGCCAATATTGCAATGTTGAATTATCAGTTAGGTTGAACAAAGTAATAATCAATACAATATACTAATTTTCTTCTCTCTTAAAATTTTGGCAAAGAGTGTCGCTTCCCCTCCACCCGCTCCGACAGTCTGCTATTTTACTGATCGGATAGCGATACAAGAATCCGTTATATTTATTTCTCTTTTATGCAGTGATCCAGGCAAGATGTAATGCAATCAAGTAAAAGTATCTGATCTATCACGATCAAGTTGAGAGAATCGTAAGAATCGTACAAAGAACTATTCGCGCTATTACTTAGCAAAACTGTGGGGAAAAAAAGTGAAAACGTATATTAAGTGTTAATACAATAGATTTCTTTTCTGAGTGTTAAAAGAGTTATCTAGCAACCGATCCAGTACAAATCCTGCGGTTTTTTTTTTTTGGTGAAAAGGCACCCCACCATCTTGGACGAAAAGGCACCCCACCATCTTGGACAAAAATGGTAGAGCGGATTTTTAAACGTCACTAACTCTTTTTTGTTATACAATCGTAAAATACGCTTTAGTTCAATGGGTTTCTTTTCTGAGTGATATCGGTTATTTATTCCTTAATCCGGTGTGAATTTTTCCGATTTTAGTCTTCGAAAAAGCGCCCCCTCCCCCATCTAAGAAAGCTGGAAAGCGGTTTTTCCGGTCACGGTTTCTTAAAGATATACGTTTTACAAGGTAGAAAACAGTTAAGTCAGTATGCAAAGGCTCTCAGTCGTTAAATTTCTTTACTTAGACTGTTTACAATTCAAAACTGCAGCTTAAAACGAGCTTTTAATTATTTTTTTCTACCCCTTTTGGCGCCCCCTGTAGGGTCGGCGCCCGGGGCGGCCGCCCTCCCCGCCCTCCCCTAGCTACGCCTCTGAGTGTATTATTAAGAATAAAAGTAGATGTAGTTTTTAGAGTAGGGCCTATGACATCCCCCCCCCCCCACCCCAATTCGTTTCTTTATGTTAATTATGTCCCATTTTAAACCTAAATAATTAGCCTATGACTTTTTTATCTGCCTGTTTTTATAGTAAGTTGATTATGTGTGATCCCACGAGCACATTCTGGTGGGCATAAAGATTTATTCATCCCAGACGGAAACTGAAAATATGTTGGTCAAGAAAAAATTGGAGATAAATTTGGTTCAATTATATTTTTTAATAAAAATTAATATTTTCGTAATTAATACCTAAACTGGTTTTAAGGCAAAATTATAATGCCTTAGATATTATTTCATAATTTAAAACGTGTTTGGAATTTAATTAAAGAAATAAAAAGAAATGATAAAAATGTAAATTTTAGCAAGGTCTAGAGAAATTATAAATTATGAAATCGTGTGTTCAAAAACTCAAAATCATTATAGAATCTATATTTAATTTTGCAATCAGCGAGCGATGACAAAAACTTGACCCAGAACACAAAAAGGGGCGTGGTTTTGTGCCCTACGACTCAGAAGATGTTCCATATAGGCTACTCGTAACATGTTTAGTATACACTTTAGTAGGTCAAGTCTAGTAACATTGTCGTAAGTGTAAACGCGGTGTAACTAAGACAAAAAACCGTCGGAAGTCATGCTTCCGGTCCGTACGCCATATTGTTGTTAGCAAATTAATTTTTATCAACCAATTTCGAGATAGTAAATTTGAAATTAAAAAAAATTCATAAAAAACGTTTTAATAACAAGCTTTTATGTAATAATGCACTAAAAAGTAGAAAATAAATTATAGACTACTATTTAAATAACTATAAAGAAAAGCGTGGGTCACTTTAGTATCTATTTGATACCTTTACTAATGTTAAGGAAGACACCCACGCTTTCCTTTCTAGTTATTTAAATAGTAGTCTATAATTTATTTTCTACTTTTTAGTGCATTATTACATAAAAGCTTGTTATTAAAACGTTTTTTATGAATTCTTTTTCAGTACTTTACATGTTTTATTTACAATAGACAGAGCCGGCGTTAAGGGGTGGCGAACGGGGCGGTCGCCATAGGCCCCGCGCTTGAAGGGGCCCCGCGCTTTAGCAATGTCATTGTTATCTGAATTAGTTCGTTAACTTAAAAAAATTGTTGCTGAATTCAATTGGGAAAAACTAAATGGTCGAATGCCGACGTTGTTGATTGTTATAACTGAGGCCACGGTTGATGTTGGTGAGTCCCACCTGAACTGGGACAGGCCGTAATTCGATACAAAAACAGTGTCACACCTCCCCTTTGCGTAGGGTACGGTCGCCTGGCATTTGACCTGAGCTGACTGGAGATGGCGGTCGAGAATTAGCCCATGACGTAAAGAGATACCCTATTGTAT